ATTTAGAATGATTCACTTCATTATTTAATTATTTGTATGTCAAAAGTAAGAATATTAAAATTCTTACTTTTTAAATTTAATGACTATTTCATTAAAATAATATATAAAAATAAATATAAGGTATTAAATTTAATTAAATTAAATATTTAATAAAAACTTAATTAAAAAAACTGTATAATAGATTTGGATTCATGATTTACCTTGCGCTAAAGGTACGTATAACTGAGCGCTCCATACTGCGCCCTCTATCTCAAAAACGATTAGACGTATAAAAAAATGTTTTAAACAAAATTTGTAGAGAATTTTATTCTCTACAACTTGTATAATAAATGCAAATACGATAGGAGGCAGAGAAAAGGAGATATTCTCAAAACATTGACCTTGAATATCTAAGGTCGCTCACACGTTGGCATATGTGACTTTTGAGACAACATTTGCAATGCTAAAATAAAGGTTTGTACAAAAATTCAGCTTATTCCGTTAGATTCCGAGGTGAAATGCCTAGATGACTGGACTAATATTATAACACTTTCTTTAATATTAAGTTTAATAAAAACGCACTAGGTATGTCCAGATGTTTCTCTATTTTCTTTGATAATATTACTCAGTGGCGGCTCGTGGCAGTAAAATTTGTGAGTTCTGCCAGTGGGGTTTAAAAAAATGTGGCGCAGTGGGCATTTAATTAAATGGTACCTACAGTTAATTAATTAAATCATAATTAAATCATACACCACATTCATTCTTACAAAAGAATACAACAACAAACACAAAAATACACCGAATTAACAGTCTTCTAGTTAAAATAACAAACGTGCACGCGAAGCGAAAAACAAACGACCGGGAAGTAGGAACTGTATGTTGGTGCAGCTCCGGTTTGGCTTAAATTTCACTATCTCAACCTAGGACCAAGAGCGGCGCGGAGCAAAATTACGGTATTGAAATGGGATCCAGAACTCGAAAGTGGCCCAGCTTTGTTGTATTGTAAGCGTTAAGCGTTAGAGACCTTTACCGGTCGTTTGGATGACTGTAGTGGCCAAGTACGGCGAATGTTTATAATAAAAACTTTTTATGCAGCCATGCGTTTGAAATATTCATACACTGTCGCACTTAAATATTAAATAATTAAAAAATTAGTCAAGTAATAAGAAAATTTTGGGAGTTCTGCAGCTCTGCAGCTCTTATGCACTAGCCGCCCCTGATATTACTCCCCGGACAACATTCGTGATATTCATACGAACATCATGTCGTGATTTTCACAAATTTTATTTATACTGATATCATACGGAAGTCACCGCGTGATAAATGAAAATCATACGAACGTCACGTCGTGATTTTCACAAATTTTATTCATACGGACATCATCCGGATGTCACTGCGTGAGAAACGAAAATCATGTCGTGATTTTTTATGCCATCGCTGTTTGAGATTGACCGATAGCACAAAAAATCATGTCGTGATTTTTTATGCCAACGGTGTTTGGATAATAATTTTTGCGCTACGTTCGTACACTAGGAGAAAAATTATGTTGAATCAACAGTTTTTGCGGTTGGGTTGGGTTGGGTTGGTTCTTGGGTTTAAATTAACTATATATAGTTAATTTAAATCCAAGAAAATATTGAATGTTAAACTGTTGATTCAATTCTTAACATACTTTTTCTTTCAATGTACGAATGTGTCGCAAAAATGAAGATCCAAACACCAATGGCATAAAAAATCATGTCGTGATTTTTTATGACCAAACACCACATACTGAGAGAAGTATGTGCCAAACACCGATGGCATAAAAAATCATGTCGTGATTTTTTATGCCATCGGTGTTTGGATATTTATTTTTGCGCCACATTCGTACATTGAGAGAAAAAGTATACCTACATACAGGGTGTTATGTAATTAATGTTATATATTAAAATGGGTTGTTCCTTAGGGTCCATAAAGAAGCACCTGAAACTTTTTTTTTCTAAATTCCAAAGACTAAAAATAATTTATAATAACCTTTATCCTACCAAAAAGTACGCCACTGATCGACTAGGAACTTTAGGTTAATCTGGTGGATTTATTATGTTATGGTTGGTAACAACATTGTTTCCAAAATCTCTCAAAAAAGTTGACAAACATTGTTTAAATTTAGCTTAATTACAAAAATGACAAAATTAACAATGCAAATTGTCAAATTGGCGTTTTTATTAATTGTTGGCTATTTCATTTTTAAACTGAAGGTAAATTCAAACAAAATCTGCCAACTTTTATGACAGAACCAGTGCATTTCTTTTAAATTTTAGGTTATGTTTTCAAATTGTAAATATCTTAACTAAGGAAAGTGCTTTTGGATTTATTTACACAAATTAAATGTTTAAAGTTTAACCTGTGAACTGGTCCCAATTTCATATGAGTAAACAGAGAAAAAAACTGATGAAAAAATTAATTTTGTGGTTATGGATTTCAAATTTCAAAGGTACTAAATTTTCTAATCATTGCTTAAGCTAATAGCTGGATCAGTAAATAAATACAGAAGGGTATTAGAGCTTTAAGGGCATAAAACTTTTGTATTTATTGAGTTTTTATTTATTTTTTGCAAGAAAAATTTTTAGTAACAATTTTTTACATCTGGCAACGCATAGCTACTTTGTTGGTTGGTATCTATGTACTCACAAAATACAGGTGTGCACATAGAAAAAGAATATAAGAAGGGCGACCACTGTGTTAAACTTAAGAAACACAAACGTCATAAACGCCTGCCAATTAGGGCCGTACTCCAAATATTTTATTAACTTTTATACTACAGGGCCGGCTTTATCTATTTTGTATATATTAATAATTATAATATTAATTTATTTAAATTTGACCAATAAAATAAAATAGTAGCAAAGATTTATTTATTTTTAAAAGTAAATGGTTATAATACACTAATTTTAACAATAAAATAAATTAAAGAATATACAAACAGTGCATCTGTATTTTGAATGGGTCCAGAAGTGAAAGAAGGTATAAAATTTCCCTCCTGCATCGGTTTTGGCCCAAAAAAACATACCTACATGAGTGGGTCTTCGAGGTTAAATTGTATTAAAACACCACTTTACACTATCACAGTTTTTATTGTTGTTAATTTGAATGATTAACAAGACAGAAATAAATATTAACGAACAAACAAAATTAAGTGTCAAAAAGGCTTCTGCATTAAGTAACTTAATGCAGAAGCCTTTTTGACACTTAATTTTGTTTGTTCGTTAATATTTATTTCTGTCTTGTAACTAAGATGCTGCTAACTTAATTTAAGTTAGCAGCATCTTAGTTACTAAAGTTTTGCCAACTGTTTAGACATAAAAACAATGCGTTCTGGTTGCCTAATGTCAGGACCACAGGCAACTACACATGTATTAAAAAAATTTTGATGTCCATTAATGCATTACATTTTTTAACAATAGTAAAAATTTCAATAACTTCTTCCACCAGGGACATCAGTACGCTGGAAATTACTTTCAAACAACAATAGTCCCTATTAAAGCAAATGTTCCAATATTATTAAGTAGTATTGGTTTTTGCAAAAAAAAAACTAATCGTAATAAATTACATACATACAAATTAATTATTTAATAGGTATGTCAATCTCCAAAAAAAAAACATTATAAAAGCAACTGATTTATTGTATATACTTACTGTAACTTCAAGGGAAACCAATACAGATGAAAAAACTCAAAAAATACTTAAAAGCTTAGAAATAGATCTTTACCGTTATCAATATTCTTTCTATTGTTGACAGATGTCAAAACTGACAATTAAAATAATTAATAAAAAAGATGACTTAAGCCACAAAAAGAAAATATGGCAACGTTGCTCGGGAGGCGCTTGTTGCGCATATTCGTATATTAGTTTCACCCCCCTGGGTGTGCAGAGATAAACAATTGTGTAACCAGTGGCGTATCACAAAAAATATAAAAAACTTCTAATGCATATTTTTCTTTATCTTTGGAAAATGTTTTTTTAAATATTTTTCCTTTATTCCTTATGTCAAAAGGTATTCAGTATTTTAATATATAACATTAATTACATAACACCCTGTATATATTGAATCAACTGTTTTTGTGGTTAAATCACAAAACTAGTTTTGTGGGTTAAATACATTCAATATTTTTTTGGATTTAAAAAATATTAAATGTATTTGGTAATTCAATTGTTAACATACTTTTTCTTTCAATGTACGAATGTGGCGCAAAAATAAATATCCAAACATGTCGGTGCACCGATGGCATAAACAATCATGTCGTGATTTTTTAGGCCATCGGTCAATCGCAAACAGTGATGGCATAAAAAATCACGACATGATTTTCATTTCTCATGCAGTGACATCCGGATGATGTCTGTATGAATAAAATTTGTGAAAATCACGGCATGATGTTCGTATGAATATCAAGAATGTTGTCCGGGTAGTAATATTATCAAAGAAAATAGAGAAATATCTGGACATACCTAGTGCGCCATTGGCCCCATTGAATGCACATATTGATATTGATATAGTTTGTACCTATCATGCATGGTATACCATGGTATAGGGCTGCCAGATTTTCAAAATTAAAATGCGGGAGGTTAAAAAAATTCTTTTTCTAGTACCGCACCCTGGCGGAAATAAGGTAAACGTAAAAATGTTTTCTACAGTACGAAGTTACAAATTTTTCAATAGATTGCTCTGGCATAGGTATTTGTCACATTGTGGTATTTGTAATACAAATATATTTGAATACCTATGCTAGCACACTATTAACAACTTTATAAAAAAAAATTGAATAAAATAAGGTGGATTAAAGGAACTTGACTCGGAACTTGATGAAGCTTGCCAAAAAACGGGAGTTACGGGAGGTTTTCAAGGAAGTCGGGAGCTTTAAGACGTCTTTTAAAAATCGGGAGGCTTGCTGTAAAATCGGGAGACTCCCGCCCAAATCGGGAGGTCTGGCAGCCATGGCATGGTATAGCAAACCGCTTTACACCGTGCTGTAATCGTAGTTGCCTAGCATTCTTATTAAAAACAAATTTTGATAATACAATTTGGAAAAAAGGAACAAAAACAAATTAGTTACAATAAAGCAATGTTTAAATTTGGATTTAATGATTCTGAATCCAAGGAAAAAGGTATGTTTATATAAACACAATTTTATTAAAATTTTTAAAATTGTAACCTCACTTATTCACATGTAGATGAAAACAAGTCACAACATAAGGAAGTCCAGTGGAAAGAAAGCAAGGAAGTTGTTGTTAGCGAATTAAACCCTATAGACTCCATTATAAGTTCATGTAAAATAAATAGTTTAAATGTGGACAATATTGAAATTGACTATGTGGCATCAACCGATGTTATGGATTATTTAAAACTACAAAATAAAGAATGTTCAGTATTAAATGCTGAACAAAATCATTCAGATCTGATTACAGCAGAGTATGAGGGTAACAACACTAAAGAACTAAAAATACTTAAGTAAAGATTTTTATTTTAAGGCGGTTTAAAAATATGGGAATGCACATATGATTTAATAAATTACATAAATTCATTAAACATATCTTTTAAAAATAAAAGAGTTTTGGATTTGGGTTGTGGATCTGGTATGGTTGGAATTTTAACTTACCTTCTTAATTCAAAATGCTACTTTCAAGACTATGTAATATCATGTTTTAGGTCAATTTTGCAATTTTACATTTATTTGCTTTTAGAACAACGAAGTTATTTCAAACATAACAATACCAAATGTGATAATTAATTCTAGAAAACATAATAAACCTATTGAAAATGCAAAGTTCTTTGACGGTGATTGGCAATCATTTTTAGAATTAATGCAAAAAGAATGCAGTAAATTTGATTATATCCTTACCAGTGAAACAATTTATAACACTGAAAATTATACTAAACTTATAAATGTATTTAGACATTCACTAAAGAAGGATGGAGAAGTATTTTTAGCAGCCAAATCTTATTATTTTGGAGTAGGAGGAGGACTTTCATCATTTCAAGAAGCATTGGATAAAAACAATTTTAAATATGATAGTTGTTGGAAATGTGACACTGGAGTTAAAAGAGAAATACTCAAAATAACATTAAAATAATTTTTATTTAAACTATTTATGGTGCTAATCTTTCATAAACCCAACCATTTACTCCTTGATGAATAAATTTTGATTCCCCTGATGTATCAGATAGTTTAAATCTTATCCTATCATGTATTCTGTCTGTTTGGCCCTGCCAAAACTCAATCACATGGGGTTTAACAATGTAGCCACCCCTAGAAACATTAGAAAACCAACATTGAATTAATTGTTATTAAGCCTATTAAGTCCTGAAAATGGCACACTAAAATAGTTCTTTTGCATACAATAAGTTTCTGACAAGTTAATGAGTAAAAAAATTTAATAGGTAGTTGTTTTTTTTTAATAAAATGGAATAGTAGGTATGAGTTCCATTTTAAGGATGCCATTTCACTTACCATTGTGGTGGTCTTGGCACTTCACCCTCCTTATATTTACTTCTCAATTCTTTTTCTGCTTTGGAAAGGTATTCTCTACTCTCAATTGGATTGCTTTGGTCACTAACAGCAGCTCCAATTTGGCTTTGATATGGTCTTTTCGAAAAATAGTCATCAGCCAAGGAAAATGGTAGCTTCTCAGCTAATCCTTCAATCCTTACCTTAGAAAAATAAATTATATATTGAAATTTTAAATAAAATTACACTTACAGATCTGCTAAAATGTTCCCAATAAAATGTTAGTGCTACTTTAGGATTATGAGCCTAAAAATTAACATTTAAATAAAGAATTTAATTAAAACTAAGTAATTCACTATTTCTGATCCTTTTCGACTTGTGTAATGAGTAAAAAACTTAAATCCATCTTGTCCAAATCCCTTTAATAACACAAATCGGGCAGAAGGCTGACCCTCTCTAAAAACAAGTTGAGTCTTTTTATTAATAGGCTGCAATTTACGATATTACTTAAGCTGCAGCTGTTATTTAAAAAGTTTAAACCTCTATTAAATTATTTAATTTAGTGGATATTTGCTACAAATTGTAGATACTGACAGTCAATTTATTACAGTGTTATAACTCATTTCATGATCCTACTTTTCTCATAACTTATGAGGAAAGTAGGCTCATGAAATATGTTACGTAACATCAAATCTATACATAAATTCGTAACAAGAGGCGCCATATTTTATGGCATTTAATGTCAAACATTATGATAAATCTAGTTCGGGGCCCTAAAAAGTATGTACACTATATAGGAACTGTGTATGAACATAAAAATAATACATTTTAACAAAGTTTTAGGTATTTTTGACTACATTTTTGTTTCCTTAAATAATTTCTTACCTATCAGAAGTAGCTAAACACATTGCATTGGGCTCAACAGTTTTAGGATCATTTTTAACTAATGTAAACCATTTTTCAAATAAAACAATAGGATCTTTTACATCTATATTTTCTTCTAGAAATAAGTTATTCTTTGCATTATAATCATGTCGCATTCCTAAAAAGATAAATTATTTTAATATTGAATAATATTTAAATAATATATATTTTTACTAATGTTTAACTAGGTTCAACTTACCTCCAATATCCATCTTGATTACGCTACTTAGATTTTGATTTAAAATATGCTTACTATTAATACTTAATAATTTTGTAGTAAACATCGAAGTACCTATTTATTTATCTTTAATGAACTTCATTTTTCAATGACCTTGGCACAGAACACAAGCTTGACTGTATAGGCAACTCAGTATACGTCTTAGGTCCATTCGAAATTTTAGTAGTTTAAAATCAAATGTTTTTAGTTATTTAGTTGAAATGGAGCCATATGATCTAGGTAAATGAATTTTTAACATATTGGATCTCTATTTTTTTCAATATTTTCTATGTTTGTATGTAAATATTTTGAAATAAAGTTTATTATTAATATTATTATATAGATATTGAAATAAAACATAGTAAAGTAAAGACAATCTAACGATTTTTATCAACAATATTTTAATTCATTAAAGAATAAAGCATGATTTATAGATTGCCTCCCTTCCTTCCTTCCTCCCATAAAAGATGAACAATACGAAAATCGTAGTGCCATTTATAGATTCCCGTACGGGAATCATGAACCTGGCGATACCGAAGATTGCTTGTGGACTTGACAATTTAGACTGGAGGATAATTAGAAGTATAGTGGAAGTTGTCTTCAGATTTAGTGGCATACACATTCTGGTCTGTTGCCACAACCCTAAAAGAACAACCGGAAGGAAGACCGTAGACTGCTACTTCTATAGGACGTCACAATGCAAGTTTTGATCTCTATGCAAATATCGCAATGTAGCGAGTACGGCTATGGATCTAGGAATGAAGACTCATCGCCGATGAGTCATCGCCGGTGAGTCAGCGCTCGAGCGAACGAGAGCTGTGTGGAGCTCGCTGGAATATTCGGAAACGTAGGCATTGAATATATAAGAGGAACGACGCATCATGGAGAGTTAGTCAAGCTTTGGTACTCGCGATAAAATAAATAAATATACGTGCAATTAAATAGACTCTGGTACAGTGGTGATATATAAATAATTAGTAGTTAAGTGTTTAGTTAGTTTTATAGTTTCTTAGTGTTTTAAGTCTAATTTAGTTATAAAATAAATAGTTTAGTTTTAATTCACACTACGAAGAGTTACAATAGTAAAAAAAACTACTTTTATCCGATTCTCTTAGCGCGTTGCAAATACTAACAAATACTAACTACAATACAAAACACAACTATTTAGACCAGCTGGCAACAAAGAAACTAATATATTAGTTATAACTACTGTAACGAAGTTACTTTTTCCCTATCCCTACCCTGTGTTACAGAATCCCGATTTAAATGATTTATTTCACGTAAGTCATAAACGACCCCGGAATAGCCCATATGTAGCGCTCCACCGGAATGACCCGTAGGATAGTCAAAGCGCACAGCAAAAAATAGCGAGATTGTTTACTTCTGCCTTTCGACGAAGCGTTTTTTATGCCAAGCAGCAACCGAGAGCACCGTCATGTCAAAAGATTTGCCACAACGCCGGGATTGGTCGAACCTGACATCATGCTGGTGACTCGCGCAGCCGGCCATAGGAGGGAGACCAGAGGGCATATAAGCGGGCGCAGCGCCTTCGAAGGGATCACTTATCACTTCTACGAGTATTTCTGCAGCAACCGGAACACCGACCGACCGCCGCCCCGACCGTCCGACCGCTAAAGTAAGTTGTAGTAACTAATTTTCTGTTTGTTTGTTTGTTTCAGAGACTTCCCCTTTATTTTCAAATTATTCTTTGTAAATTCATTTCCATTTTATTTATTGCTTTGTACATGCGAGGAGTTATTTAAATATATGTATTAACCGAAACACACCATTTATTCTTAAATTCCCCGGAACCCTGGAATTTTATCTCCACTGTTGACCCTAAAAGCTACCCTCGCACATAGTGGAACTTCAACCACTTTAAACCCGTTGAAGTTGGCGCCCGAGATTTTATTAGAAAGTCAGCACGGTAAGTGACGCCAAGCTTAAAAAGGAAAGTTTTCCCCCGGGAAATAAAACCCTTTTACACTACAGCAAATGAAAATAGATTTGAATTTAAACTGGGATGGATACCAGGCCACAACGATATAAAGGAAAATGAAAAAGCAGACCAGCTGGCTAAAATTGGAATCAACCTTAATGTTCCCCTGGAATGCCAACCCGACATAGGTATATGAAATGATGCCTAACTTAAAGAAACAAATTATAAAAGCATGGAATGAAAAATGGAAAAAATATCAACATACAAAGGAAAATGGTACCATCAAATTGAAGAAAACTTTCCAATAAAACCATGGTTTCACACAAATAAAATCAAAAACAGAAGACATCTAACAACCATCATACGTTTAAGGTCTGAACATGGGTTATCTTCATAGAATAGGAATAGAGGATAACGCTATCTCTGAATGTGGAGAGGAAGAAAACTTATCCCACATAATACTGGAATGTCCCATAAACAAAATTCCTGGAATAGACATTTACTTTGAACTGGCAAAAAATTACATAATCCTCCCTGCCAGTCCACTGAGCAAAAAAACGTAAAATATATGTAAAATTAACGTCAAAGGTTGTAGTGTGACGTATAAGAATCTTGTAAAATAAGCGTCACATAAACGTCGCTGTGATGTGCCTATGTCCGGATCCTAGGCCGTGAATTAGCCCTAACCGTTACGTGAATAAGGAGACGTTTTTAAAAGGACGTAAAAATGTCATTTTAATATGGACGTATAGGTTTTGTTTCAACTTGTACATATTAGTTACGTTTTTTTTTTAAATAAAACTACCACTTTGGAAATATTTTTTTTTTATTAATATAAATTATAAAAATAAAACATTATTAGTCTGGTAAAAATTATAAATAAAATAATAAAAATAAAACATTATATGAGTACCGCCTAATTAATTTTCGGCCTCATTCTCATGTCCAAATTTGGCAAAAAAACGTTATGAGCGTTGCTTGGCGGTTTGGAACAACTCCTTGCTCTCTTTATCGAAATCACTTTCAGTCAGACGAAATAATTTCATACTGGCTTCTAAAAAAAACATTTATAACTTAAGTTATCTAAGTAATTAGGTATATAAAACTTATATAACTTGCCTGTCGCTCGGCGCAAAATTTGTCTCCCATGTTCACTGGTGTATTAACTGAAAATTCAAATTGATTAAAAGACTTCTTTAAGTCTAACAGCATTGATTAATATTACTTCTCACTCAACGCTAACATCAGGCCCGGATCTAGAAGTTTTTAAATGGGGGGCAAAAGTCAAATTTGCCGCCCCCTTTGAATTTTTTAAAACAATGATGATAAACCAATTATTTTTTATTGCATTTTGGAGATTATTCAAATAAAACTCAATTGTAAGATTTAACAAATAAAAAGTACACTTTATTTTAATATACCTACACAACATTAAAAACTAATTTTGCGTGCTTTTTTTTTCTGAAAATGCATCTACAATCTTCTCAAAATTTATTGATTGTGCAAAGGTATTTTCAATTGCCAATATTGCAAGTCCTGATAATCTTTCGTTGCTCATAGAAGAACGCAAATAATTTTTTATTAGCTTTAACTTGCTAAAACTTCTTTCACAATTGGCGGAAGTTGTTGGGAGTGTACAATATATGCGCAACGCAATACAAATATTTGGAAATGCCTCTTTCAAATTATTTGCTTTCAGGCTGAAAGACAACCAGCTACTGACAAAAATCTGTGGCATTTAAATCTTTACTGTATTTTAAAGCAAGATCGAGACCATGTTTTTTCAGTTCCATTCAAGAATGACAAGTAGGAATTAAGAGTCTTGGTACTCTAAATTCTGGTAGAAATTTTAGTTACCAGTCTGTCAAATACTAAATTTAGATATTTCGTAAAATTCTGATCTTCTGAACCCTCATCAAATATTCTTTTTCTTTTGGGTACACGTTGGATAGCAAAACCGGTTCCACATTAATTTTTTCTGCAATTAACTTTTCCTCCTTTTCCCAATTTTTAATCGTTGTCTTCCGCATTCGATTTAATGTTCGAATTAGCCCATCCATTAGGTCAATCGAATTTAGGTTTTTCCAATATTCCAACAATATCTATAAGGTTGTTGGTAAGAGCTGTTACGGCCTGATACTTTGCAGACCACTTGGTTTGGCTAGAGCCCTGCAGCTTTCTCTTGGTGCATTCCTTTAAAAGACACCATCGACTTGTCGAACTTACAAAAAAGTTAAAAATTGACTGGACCACTCCAAACAATTTTACTGCTTCTGTAGAGGCTAACGCGGCATGCATTCCCACAAGGTTTAACGAATGCGCAATTCAAGGTACAAATTCGGCCAGTTCATTCTGTTGCAAAATTCTTGCTTCAACGCCTTTACGCCATGTTGGAGCCATGCATTATCATAAAATTGGCAACGGCACTGCTGAATATCTAACCCATCGTTTCTCAACTTTTCCAGAATTCCTGTCTTTCCCTCTGCCTCGGTAAAGTCAAGGAAGGTTTCTTTAATTGAACAACTTTCGACATACCGAATTACTTGACTCATTTGCTCGGTATGTGAGGTGTACAGTCAAACATGATGGTAAAATATTTTGCTTCCTTAATTTTTTGGAAAAGTTGGTCTCTGCACGCGTTACCCAATAGCTCGATTACCTCGTTTTGTATGGCGAATTACACCCGTACTGGTACTATCGCACTTTTTGGGCCGACCGGTCAACACCGTCGCTTCGGCTCTCTAAACCACCGCAAAATTTAAAAGGTGTACAACCACTTTTGTGTCCACACCCTATATAAAGGGAACCCAAATAGATTTTTAAATGTAGTAAGTACATAAGTATTTTTTTTTATAAATACAAATGGGAATGTAAAACTATAAATTTATATTATCAAGAGGTTCATTTTGCCGCCCCCCTAAGTTGCCGCCCGGGGCAAGTGCCCCGGCTTGCCCCCCCTAGATCCGGGCCTGGCTAACATTAGCCAACTTACCTAAACCGTTCAGTCTCGCCTATGGAGAACAATGCGTTTTCTATCACAGAGCAACAAATGGCAACACACTGTGTATCCTGGTCACAGTGTTGAACACAGAACAATGGCAGTCGCAACGCAAACAGAGTATGCCCTGTTACAGGGCCCCTTTTATACCGATATATCGACTGGAAACGAAATTACCCGTGTCCTTTTTTACGTAAATTTTACATAAAATATACGTTTCTCACGATGCGATAATAATTAATAATAATAGAATAATTATTATTCGGTAATAAAGTA